TCCTTGATGGATAAACTATGGAGCCAATGTTTCTTCTATATTTGTCCTCAAGAAAGGGCTTTAATGAATGCCATTGCATGGCACCCTGTGCCAGGCTACAATGTAAGATGTAGACTTGGGAGTATGATAATAAAGGCCAAGCACAATCCTGCACAGTTCGTGTCAGGAAATCTATAAGGACAGAAGGACCTTAATGACACCCAGTGAAATTGATGTGTGAGGTTGTAGTTTAAGGTAGTTGTAAAAGAAAATACTGATAACTGAATATAGCGTAATATACTGTAAGAGAGTTCCTGAGCTCTCTGTATTGAACATGTAATGTGTTAACATGCGTATGGAGTCAAAATATTTGAGTATTTCGAAGTTTGAAGGGGCAATAAAGTTAGGCGCAAGAGCTGACTGAAAACCAGTTTTAACTGCAAGTCTGAAGCAGCTCTAATGAACTACCAATTGTGTAGCTAGTTAGAAAGGGTGGTTTGTTTATATTATGAAATTGAGTCTCAAAGCGGCTTCTAATCATGAGCAGTGAAGTTCCTTGTTTCAGATTGGGTATGATGTTACAGGAACCTTTCTTAATTTGCAAACAAGTAAATTAAGCAGGAAAAGAATAGTGCTTGTACATTTGCAATACAAGCTTAGTATTGGCGGTAGGAAAGGATGAGGACCATGTAGTAGTTACCCACTTTATTCTTGTGCTTCTGAAAAGTATCGTTCATTGCCGTGCTGCTTGGGGTGATGGATTGCTTGGTTAATGGTACTTTAAGTTTAGATTTTGCAGGTGGGAAATTAGTTTGGAATCGATGGCAGAACATGTTACGTAAGAAGTGCATCTCATTAAAATAAATACACCGTATGCCATTTTGTATTGATCTGTTCTGCTGCGAGTTCGGCTCAGGCCCTTTTAGCCAGAAGAAGATTCCTTGATAGTGAATCACATCAATCTGCTAAACTTGCCAGTTTAATCTAGTAGGCTAAGAAAATCTCAGAAGAGGAACCAAAAGGTAGTTGAGTTGCTTACTGTTTGTGATGGTAGATGGAAGATAGTCTACTTCTCCCACCTTCACAAATGAAATGTAATTTGTAAGTTCTGCTGTTAACCAACTTTGTTTATATCTAGCTGGCTTGATGAGGTATTAAGAAGGGGTTCAAACAATGGACCTGTTCACACAACCAGTTTCCTTCCATTTGCTGTAGCCATTAACAAGAACTTTAATTGTATAAATAATGCATGCCCCAAAGTCTAATTTTGATACAGCAATTACTTCCTTTTATATTCACCCATTAAAAGCCCCCCATGCTACCCCTTGCAATGCATTACACTCACTCTTTAAAGAGTGTTTGTAACTGGGGTTTTTTTAGTGTAATAACATATTTTTCAGCTGATGTTCTCTTGTAGCTCAGCTGAAAAGTTATTTAATAAAATAAGGTAATGCATAATAGACCCTCTGCCTCTTGAAGAAACTTAAGAAAACTTTTTTTTCTCCCTGAAAGTTGTTATCAGCTGCATCTAGAGGTGCAACAATATGAGCGATTTGTGCAACACTGTGAATGAAAATGCAAGTCTTTAAAGCATTTGTTTCTGTACTCAAATCTTAGTGATGCACTGTTGTACTGCAGTCACAGCTCCTAACATGCACTTCTAAAGCCTCGGAAGAAATTGATTGTAAATATAGATGATCTGGTGAAGCTGTTCCTAGCAGATGTCGTGATTACTTAGAAACCTTTCAAAAATTAGATGCTCAAGTTACATCAAATGCAAGTAAATGTTCTAAATGTGGCTTACACCATTCATTCAGACATTTTAAAACCCCACAAGAGTTGCAGTTTCTACATGAAAATGTTTGGCTTCTACATAAATGCCTGAACCTGCCGCTTTGTGACCTTTAAATAGCTCTGAAGAAGGGAACACTTTTAGTCTGCAAATAATTCACGAAGCTTTTTAATGCTACCTTGTTTTCTTAAGAAAAAGCAAAAGCTGTAAACCGTCAGTATTTTTACCTTCCAGAATGAACTTCCGAAAGGCCTATAACGAGATAAATTTGGTGTCATTTGTACCTCTCAAAGCCTATCGGTTTGTTTGCAGGGTTTCTTTTTTGCCCTTGCTGTTCTTGAACAGGTAAACAATACACTTCAGCAGAAGAGTCTTGAAAGCCTCATGGGTGGCCAGAATGGATTTACAGTAAATGCTATTAGAGTTTTGAACTTCAACAGTCTCGTTTTTCAGTGGTTGTAGTACAAGCATGTATGTGGAAACTTTTTTTTTGTTAAGAAGTTGAAAGAGTTTTGATCAAATCTGTTACGATGCTTCTGGAATACTTGTTCTACTATGTTTTGTTTTTATTGATGGGTATTCGGACTAATGTAAAGTTTTTAGAGCAAATTATGTTACTTACTCCAAGCAGATTATTTCTAAAATCATAGTTTATAGAACTGAGTCATTTATCAAAATTCTCTTGACACTTGCCCTACAAATACTAGTTACTGCAAAGCATCATTTTAGTAGAACTGTTCCAGCTTTCTTTGCTTTTAGTTAGCTTGTTTATTCCATGAACATAGTTGTGGGTAAGTGATGTTGAAATGGTATACAACCAGTAAAATTTCATTCCCAGTTGCTGCATGTTACTGTGTTTGAAATACTAAAAAAAAAAAAAAAAAAAAAAAAAAATTGACGTGATCATAGACTAGAATCGTAGATCTGTAAACTTGATTGCATAATATAAATGGGACAGCTGTAATGGAATAGATCAGAGTCACAACAGCCAAGAGGCATTTCCTGAAATCTCTTCTGAGCTTGACTTAACTATAGGCATTTCTAGTGTATGTTCTGCCTTGATGATTCTTAAGATTCTTTGAAAGCATAGCTGAGAAACAGAAATAGAACTTTTTAATTGTCTTGTCGCTGGTCTGAGATTCTAGGTGGGTTCATTTCCTTTTTTAGGGGTGTGAGCAACTGCTGATATCTTACAGCTATTGAATGTACGCAAGGCTTGGAAGCAAGTTAATTGCGACTGTAAACAGCTTTTACTTTTTAGGACACTAAACTTTTATCCTCAGTAAAAGAATAAATTTAGTCTGTGTTCTTGGCCAAGTTTATCTCCCTTTATGTATTTCCTGTTACTTTGAAGGGTGCAAAGGTTCTCGTGTGTAATAGTTCCAGGGAACTAAATTTATACTTAAAGTGCAGACATGTCCTTACTTCTGAATAAATAAGGTGATACATAATTGGTTTTTTTCTTTTCTTTTTACAATACCCTCTTCTAAGGACTTAGTGAAGCAGTGAGAGACTTCTGTTCTTTTAATTTTTTTCATTTTGTTTTTTATGAAAGCTTAGGAAGAAAGATCTTCAAACAGTTTTTCCGTTTGTTTTGCTTTTCCCATTTTTTTCCATGTTATTGAAACAAAGCTAAATAATCAAAGAAGTAGCAATGGGATTAAGCTTAAGGGTGTTCATAAGTTTTTTAAACTTACGTTCTTCATTGTAGCCAAGTGTCCTTGGGTCTGTTCCCTGCTTTCCTTGCCTTCCACCTCCCCAGTAGAAAATCTAGGATGATTACATGTGGGACATTATAAATGCTTTGTCTAGGGATGTTTGCCATATCTTTGGCTGATGATGCTTAACATATGGTTCTGTTATAGGAAAGTACCCATCCATATGTCTGAGTGAGCTTGTAAATGTGCTTAGACACTTAGAAAAGCCTTATCAGATGACTTTCAGTTAAGCAAAGATGGGAGGAAAAAAGATCCCCTTGATTAAAGGTAGCAGTCTAACAGAAGCAGCACAGAGGTACTTAAATCTTGCTTCCCCCCCCCCCCCCCGCCTTTTTCTCTTATGTGCAGATTTGGTGTCTCGGGGTATGTTAGGTGTTCTAACTCACCACAGTTTATCAGAAGTTGAGAGACAATGTTGTTTGGCAGTCTCTGTAGCAAGAAAGGAAGCATCTTTTGTTATTGACATCCTTTCTCTTAGCTCTGCTCTTGCTTTTTGCCAGCTGCTCATTGTCTATACTTGCTTATTTAGTATTCACAAGGGATTTTACAAGTTCTTATCAGTTCGTTGCCACAGCACATCATTTCCTCTTGTCATCATTACTCCTTAAATTGGGAGGATTCGCATTAGAGAAAACACCACCATTCATGAGTGCAGGTTGAGCTGCACAGTGTTGTTCTGCTCCTCTCCTTTCTGAGGCAGTTTGTAGTAAAGGTCACATTTCTAGTACTTACTCTGCCATGCCTTTTCCCCCTCTCTTTTTCTGGGGAAAAGAAAACTTTTTTTTTTGCGCCAAAGGCTAAAAATATCCAGTGCTTCAAATATTCTTAAAAGATATAAGGAAGTGCAGCATAAAAATAGCCACAGCTGAAAAGGTTGACCACCTTTCTGAGTGGCTGGGGAGGGATTGGTTTGAGGTTTTTATTGGGTTTTTCTTTGAATTGTTTTTGGTTTTTTCTTTTGGTTATCTACAGTTTCTTCCTCTTTGTTTAATACTCTTCAAAAAAGCATGGGGTACCTAATTAGAGCTCAAGAACAAGTAGATGCTTTAGTATTTTCTCCTTTTGGGAAATAAAGATCCATGATTTGAGAAGCTGAGTACTTCTATGCAGTACTGGCTGTGGAACTACTGGTTCCACCGTGCCTCTTCCCTGTTTATGGAAGTTTAAGTCTTCTGGTGAAACACTGTGACAGAGATATAATACCAGTTTTAAAGCATATTCCCCAAGCCTGTCTTCTGAAGGAAACTCATGGATTTAAGGAACATTGTTAACAGAAACCATGTTTTGGTCCCTTGACTGTCCTTTTTCCTATTAATCAGTAATGCAAGAACTGGGGACTCTGATCGCATTTCACTTTATTTAGCTTTGGGGTGAGGTCCTAGTACTTCTGGGATTTTGTTTTGAAACAAAATCAAGTGCAATGGCTAGGGTTGAAACAGGCATTCTTTTAATAGCTGTCTTTTTGTTTTACCACATTCTTTACTTGTTTACTAATTACTTGTTAACTTATCTTCTTAATAGAACTAAATTGGAAGAATCAATCATTATTTTTGGTGTGAAGACTTCATCACTGACATCTATATGTTCATTTGTAAGCCTCCAAGAACTAATACAGCTCATCAGTGGCAATAACTGCTTTTGGTATACACTGACATTTATTTGAAAAAAAAGCAAACAAAAAAACCCCAACAGACAAAACCCAACAAACCTTTTGAAGACTTGTGTCAAATGACGTCAATGGCCAGTTTGTTCTCCTTTACTAGCCCAGCTGTAAAGCGTCTGTTGGGCTGGAAACAAGGAGATGAAGAGGAAAAATGGGCAGAAAAAGCTGTTGATGCTTTGGTAAAAAAGCTGAAAAAGAAAAAAGGTGCTATGGAAGAACTGGAGAAAGCCTTGAGCAGTCCAGGACAGCCCAGCAAGTGTGTTACTATACCCCGCTCTTTAGATGGACGACTTCAGGTTTCTCACCGAAAAGGCCTTCCCCATGTAATTTACTGTCGTGTTTGGCGTTGGCCTGATCTACAAAGCCATCACGAGCTGAAGCCATTGGATATTTGTGAATTTCCTTTTGGATCTAAACAGAAGGAAGTCTGCATCAATCCATACCACTATAAGAGGGTGGAGAGCCCAGGTATGTTTGAACATGGCTTTCTAAAAACTGAACAAAATCTCCAGGAACCACCCTTATTCAATCCCCCTCCTCCTCCAGTACTGTATAACAAATTATGTTTGGTGTATGGGGGAGTTTGGAAGAAGAATGTTCAAAGTGTACTTTTCTGGTGGGGGTTTGGGGAGGTGCATTGTCCATTCTGTACTGGCTGTTTTTCTTTGTGGGAAATTACACTTTTCCCACGGATCTCTTAAGCCTGCTACCCTTAAAGTTAGTGGCAAAGTCTTCATTTATAAGAAAATAGGAAAGTAGTAATCAAAAGACTTCAGTTGCTTGTTTAAAAACCTCAGTCCTTGCAAGGAGGTTGGTAGCCTTCTTCCAGGGTCTTAATATTTCATCAGTGAGTGACAGGAGTTGAGGAGACTTTAAAAAAAAAAAAATCTAGGGTGCCGTGTTCCCCACTTGATTTCCCATTAGTAGGCAGCAGAGCTGAACAGAACCAAGAGTGATGATCAGTTAGAGCAAGGTACGTACCAAATTTGTGTCAGGTAGCAAGTCTGCTGTTAAGGCATGTTGCCATGGGAGAAGGTGAGGAGGATTGTGGTTACGAGTGGGAGAGATGAATTCTGTTGCTCTGGAAAGTATAGTGAAAAGTTGCTTCCGTTGTTCCACAAAATGGTTGTAACTCTACTGCAACCGGCTGTAGTGCTCAAGTGCTTTACTGTAGCACTTGAATTCCAGACTCCAGCACTCTTGAATTTAAAAGTTAAAACTCCAGCTTAGCAATAGTTGTATATTGTAGTATAGATTTTGTTTGTCTTCAGTGAAAAGGACTACATGTAACTATATAGTTTGGCTATAGTAATACAGACTGTATTTCCATTTTTACTGATTTGATAATACATACATACAGTGAGTTTTGCACTTCTAAATCTGTACTTTGGTACATGTCACGTGTGGACTGGATTTTTTGTGTTTTTTAAAAAAGGTCTGCTTCCAGTTGCATGAAATGTCAGTGCATTTCTGCTCTGATTTTTGTGAGAGTAAAGCTTGAGTCTTCCATGAAGTGTAATGTAAAAAAAAAAAAAACCCAAGGGAGAGAGGATGGGGTAAAGGCATGACAGATGAATCCCCTGCTCCTCTTTCCACTCCAGCTAGTGTTGACATTTTCATGAGTGCGTTATTTGTATCTCTTTCCTTCTATCTCAATTTTTAATCTAAGTTTCCCTGTTTTTTGTTTGGTTTTTTTTTTTTTTTCAGTTCTACCTCCAGTGTTAGTGCCTAGACATAGTGAATTCAATCCACAGCACAGTCTACTAGTTCAGTTCAGGAACCTAAGCCACAATGAACCACATATGCCACACAACGCGACATTTCCAGATTCTTTCCAGCAACCCAACAGCACTCCATTTTCCATTTCGCCGAACAGTCCCTATCCACCTTCTCCAGCCAGCAGCACTTACCCAAGCTCCCCAGCTAGCTCTGGACCATCTAGTCCGTTTCAGCTACCAGGTAAGTACAGCCTAAATGTCAGCTTAATAAAAATAATTGAAATGTCACGTGCTGTTGTGACTTACTACATCAGGAATTTGTGATACTTGCAATAAATTGCTTTTCTATGTGCATTTTAGGGGGTTTTCTTCCTAGTTTTGTCACTGGGCAGAGTTAATTGTTACAGTTTTATTTTTCCAAATGTTTTTTGTCATGGATACTATAGCGGTGAGTTATTTTGTGCAGCTTCAATGTACAATAACTGATACGTTCTTTAGAAGAATATCTAGCAATGAAAAGAAAGCAGATGTAAGAGGCTGAGCAAGAAGTTTATTGATGTCTTTCTCTGAATAAAGACATGTGGTAATTAACTGGAAAAAGAGCAAATTTTTCATAGGAACTTAATGGATTTGGGTGAAAATAGGGAAGAAGCAATTGATAGGGGCAAAGGAAAGAAGCCTTATTGAGTCTCATTATTGGTGTGGTGTATAAAGCCAAGAAGTTAATAAAGAATTTATTTTTCCAGTAGCTCTGTGGCCTCATCTTTGCTCTTTCTGGCTGCCCAGTGCCACAAAAAGAGTGTCCGTTCAGTGGCGTATCCCTCTTGGATAAGGACTCTGATCACTGGGATGGATGCAATAATGGTATCTGGAGGGAATTTCTGAAATAGGGGATAATAGTGTGTTGGTACACTGACTGCTGTGCTGAATGGACGAATGCAGAGATCCTCGCTTTTATAATGAACTCAGCCTACAGAAGCAGCAAAAAACCCAGTTGGTTTAGGCCTTTGTTATGCTATGGCAAATAAAGTTATTTCTTCTACTACTTCTTTCTTTTTGAATGTGGAGAAGAGGGTAGGCAAGAAAGCTAATGTTTGTGTGTGTGGGGGGGGGGGAAAGTGGGAACTACAGTCATCTTGCCCAGCTGCAAGAGTGCAGTTGTTAAAAAAAGGCAAACAGAAAAAAGCCCATCTCTGGTTTTCCTCAAGTGTCCAATCTTGTCATTAGTCCCATAGATAAGGATCCAGCTGTTGAAGGAGGTTACTGTAAAGACAGCTGGCTGGGTTGTCTTCAGGTTACTTTGAAAATGGGTCCAGATGTTTTAACATCTCTTGTTCAGGAGTATTGTGTGTTTACAACTGTAGAATGAATAAATAAATACTCTAAATTGTTGAGGTTTATTCTGGTTTGTTCTTATTTTTTCGTGTTTGTAGCTGATACTCCACCTCCTGCATATATGCCCCCTGATGATCAAATGGGGCAGGATAATTCTCAGTCTATGGACACAAGCAATACAATGATCCCTCAAATCATGCCAAACATATCCACCAGAGGTAAGTTGTATAGTATGGTGTAAAATTACTCTAGTTTGGCTGCTTACAACTCATGACCAAATTGAACGAATGGCTTCAAATGGTGCAGTAAACCTTGTTGATAAGTAGAAGCAGTCCTCCAAGGCAAACTGGGGCTGTAACAGAAAGCATGGAGAAATAAAACGTGCTGTGCTTATTTGCATCTCTTGCTGTTAAAGTCTCGGGTGCATAGTATGGCTTACAAGAAGTTGAACTTTTTTCATTTTCTGCTACCTTTGCCTGCTGTTGAAATTGTATATACACAAAGGCTCTGAAAATTGAGTCTGAAAATACCAATTAAAACAATTTTTTTAAAAAGTGGACAAAAGAATCATGTTTCACCTGATACCAGTCATCTATGTTTTTTTGTGTAGGGTTTTTTGTTTAATATCAGGCTTAAAATAGGAAAATAATTACAAAATCAATGGGCTAGCTAAAATGCATGAAGGTAAAAATCATTAAGATCTTAATCAGGACTGTTCTTGCCCATCATAACTGTTGACTAAGCTTTTAGTTATCTGTTGATATTTTGAAGGCCTGCTTTACAGTTTTATATTTACTGTTTTAACATTTATGTAAACTGGTATTTCCATTTTGCTTATTTTCAGATGTTCAGCCTGTTGCCTATGAAGAACCCAAACACTGGTGTTCGATTGTGTATTACGAATTAAATAATCGTGTTGGGGAGGCGTTTCATGCATCTTCCACAAGTGTCTTAGTAGATGGGTTTACAGATCCCTCCAATAATAAAAACAGGTTCTGCTTAGGTTTGCTCTCAAATGTTAATCGCAACTCAACAATTGAGAACACTAGACGACATATTGGAAAAGGTAAAGCTTAGTTGTGTTACACGTGATTAAGAAGCTAAGTCCTTGTTTTTATTTACTTCTGTATACTGCAACAGTGATTATTCTCAGATAAGAATAGTAGAAGTAATCTGTGATACACATACTTCTCTAGTATATGAAGACAACTTAGGCATAGTTTGATTCTAATTAGTCTAGGAATTGCATACATTTTTCTTTGGCAGTAATTTAAAAGATTAAATATTACTACTTCATTATCAAACTGTATTGTCATAGGGGCTTGCTTGTTATGGTTAATGGTAGCCTGTATGTAGAATTTTGTGTTTCAGCACCAAGAAACATATTGCAAGACTTCTGATAGTCTATGTTACATCTGCTTCTTAAATCAAATTCTTCATGCCACTTTACAGTATAGCAAAGTTTTGGTTTGTTTTTTTGTTGGTTGTTCATGCAAGGTATTACGCTGCTGTCTACAGTTTGTTCAAATATCTTGCATGAGTTGGCAGCAGGACTTTGAAGTGCTAATGCAAAACTGCAAGGGCTCATTTGTCTGAGTGAATCCATGGGGTGTGTATGTGTGTGGGAGGGATTCCTGGAGACAGCAGGTTTTGCAAGATCTTCTAGTTTTCCCGTACTGTTTGGCTGATAGCACGTATAGATGCACGGTTTTCATCTTTGATGGAGTGTGCTTGGATTATCTTAAAATGTAGTACTCCTTTTCTGAGTATCTCCTTTTCTCAGGACTGACTTAGTTACAAAAGAGAACCCTGTTTCTATTGCGCATATATAGAGGCCTTTTTAATGCCTAAGATCATTTGGTACAGTTGGTCTTGAGTTTTGTTTGATGAAAGTCACTGTTGCTTGTAATATATCTTCAGGACCCGTCCTGTCCCTTAAGTCTTATAATTGGAAACTACTATAAATACGGCAAAATTTTGCAGATAATCTGGAGACCATGAGTTATACTAATACCTGTTGGAAACTTGGCTCTGGAATGCTATTGTCTGAGAAGATTTAATGTTATAAAGGGGAACAACTGATTTCTGGGGTGCAGGTGGTTTGTCACGTTCTTTTGTTTTGGCTTACCCCTTTTGATGGTACTGGCAGAGAAATCTTGCACATCTGCCTATGGTCAGAAATGTAACAAGGATCCAGCATCATGTTGTAGAATAGTATTGGCTGCAATGCGCTTTAAAGTGGCTGCATCTCTAATACTAATTATTAAACTAAAACTTTGCTTTATGGTAACAGTTCTGAGAACAATTAAGATTGTTTTGGGATAAAACACTATTTATTTATGGCTTTTGTTTGGAAGGTCTTGGGTTTTTGCCTCCTCAAAACTACCCGATCCTATTTGCTGAGCTTTTTTTTCCTGTAGAAGTGTTGCATTGCAAGCGTAAGTCACTTCAAAAATAATCCAATGCGCACTTAGAAGTATCTGTGTTCTTCTCAGACTGTTACATTACCCAGCTCCCCTCTTCAGAGATCTCTCGGAAGGTCTTTACCCGGAAGAACTTAGCTAGCAAGTGGTGGTCTCTCTTCTTAAATCTAATGGTTGTGTTGTGAAAATGCATTCTTGCCCACCCCAGACTTTCTGATAGCTGCTTATAGTTGATGAAGCCAACGGTTTCTCTGTGTAACCTTCACCCTACCTTAGTCCCAAGTGGCCCTAGCAATGTTGACAACAGTTGCTGTTGTCTGAAAGATTAACTTGCATCTGTTGATTTGCTGCAGCCTCATCTGGCAAACCACGGGATAGTCTGCAGTAGGTGCTCAGGGTATTGCAAGGAAGGCTTGAACTGAACTGTATCCCAACAATGTAACAGTCGTGGGTGGGGGAAAGGGAGGAGATCAGGGAGAAGGAAGGTGAGTATCTCAACTGAAGTAGCAGCAAGAATCTGTGTTTGGGTGCTGAAAGGATCAACTGCCTATATATATTAATTTTTAGTCAGTAATATTGTTACATAGGCTTTAGAACATAAAGGGGGGGAAGGAAGCACTTATGTACATAGCTGAATCCAGGCAGATGTGATAAATCTAGGGGCTTTGATTTTTAAGGTCTGTAAAGCCTGATGGTATTTAAGTTGTGCAACTAATTGGACTTACCTCTCCCTTTCTGGATACAGTACGTTGAAAATCAGAGCAGACTATGGATATACTTTTTCGTTCATGTGTATCACTGCCCCTTCTCCCAGGACACTTGTTTCTGTTGGAATTGCCAGAAGCAGAAGCTACCAGTTTTGTAAAACTGGAGTTTTAAAATCCACATAAGTTCTCTAGGAAAATAGCTTGAAATAACAAGTTGATGTGTGGAAGTAGTTTTTTCATTCTATTTTGTAATTGATGAGAGAAGGACATCTAGTGGCAGATGTATAATGAAGCCTACTGTATTTTGAAATAAGAAACTATGTCATAGTGTGGGCAAAAGAAAAGCCTTTCTGAAAAGGTTCTCAAACAAAATTTACTTTGCCTCTGATTTCGAGGGGATTGTATTAAGTACTGTATTGGGGGGCGGGAGAGTAGTTTGAAACATTTTTCTCTTTGTTTTCAAGGAGTTCATCTCTACTATGTTGGTGGGGAAGTCTATGCTGAGTGTTTAAGTGACAGCAGCATATTTGTACAGAGCAGGAACTGCAACTACCACCATGGCTTTCATCCAACAACTGTATGCAAGATTCCTAGTGGATGCAGTCTGAAAATTTTTAACAATCAGGAGTTTGCTCAGCTTTTAGCTCAGTCTGTCAACCATGGATTTGAAGCAGTATATGAGCTCACCAAAATGTGCACCATTCGAATGAGTTTTGTAAAGGTAAACAAATTATTTTGGGGGCATTTGAATTTATTGTGGGTTTGGGTATTCAGCAGTAATTACATTAGCACTGTCACAATGTAGCAAAGCTATTCTGACCTGATGTGGTTCTTCTCAATGATAAGTATGTTGAAAACGGTTGATCTGGGGAGAGGGAAGTCAATGTGAGAAAGGAAAAGCACAGACTGCTGTACTGAATAGTGGCTGTGTATTTAGTTACTTCATACTTCAGTATTCAGGACAGGGATTTAATCATTGTGGTTTCTGTAATTTTTTTAAAGGAGATTTGAGCTCATGCTCTAAATTTGAAGGAACAAAGTGAACTACAAAACCAGTAAAAAGAATGTGAGTAGAGAAGGAGCATAAGTGACTGCAGAAAAAATTGCAATTCCTGCAAAGATATTAATATTGTTTTTTTTAAAAACCGATTATGGAAAAAAGACATGATTTGAATTTATGAAGTCAAACTGTGCTGTTATTCCCACAGTACTGTTTTTTCAACATTGTTTAATCAAGATGCTGTGTGTTTTAGATTTAGCATGGAGTCTAGACTTGGACCTTCCAGGTTTTGGTTTGGTGTGTGGTTTTGGGGGGTTGGGTTTTTTTGCATCTTGTCCAAAAGGTGTCTTGTTTGTTTTGTCAATTATGATAAATACTGCTCAGTTTAAGAGTGTGGAGGATAGGGAGCAGGAGGGAGAAACAGGAGAGAGAGGTGGCCATAGCCAGGAGTCATTCTCGAGTCAGCAGGGCACTCCCCAGGGGAGCTCGAGTAGTCGCTCCAAGTCTCTAGCAGACAAGGCTTGATTCACGCTTCCAGGTGCAGCCTCCCTGCTGCTCCTTCCCAACCTCAGGTTTTTTTTTTTCCCTCTAGATAATAACTGTTGCTAGATTGTGAGTTGCCTTCAGATAAGTATCTTAAAACATGATTGCCTGCTTGTTGTTAGTACAGTTATTTTGAAAGACAAGCATGTTCTCAACTTGATGGATAACGTTTTGTTCATTTTTATAGGGCTGGGGAGCTGAATATCACCGACAAGATGTCACGAGCACCCCATGCTGGATAGAAATTCACCTTCATGGGCCCCTCCAGTGGCTGGATAAAGTACTTACACAAATGGGTTCTCCTCTTAATCCCATCTCATCTGTTTCATAGTGCTGAAATTCTATCTTCAGCCTTATTTTTAGCGAACTTATTCTAATTCTAGAGAAACTTCCAGTGTGGATACTGTGAGCTACATGGAGAATGGATCTTACGGTTTAACTTTTTTTTTTTTTTTTTAAATCCCTTTGTGACCAATTCCATTGTGTATAGCTAATCAGTTTTACATTTCAATTTGTTCTTGTGATGCTTAAGTGACAGTTGAGCCCTAAGGGAAAAAAAGTCTATTGAAAAATTCAGAACACTTTCCCCCTCCTTCAAGTAGAACTTAAACAGGCATATGTCTTAACTGGAAAATTTTTTTCTCTTTGTCCTGTAGGGACAAGAATTATGAAGACTGACTTCAGAAAATAAATACATATCATAGTTTGGGATTTTTTTTAACTTTTATGAAACTGTTTGAACATGTGCAGCTCCAGCTTGCAAGCTGTATTTTTAGCATAGTTTAACATCTTAAGGTTGACATCTGTCATAAGCAAAGTTAGACTTTATTACGGCTCATTTGCCTCAAATTGAACAATGTGATTTTTTTTAAGTGTACACATGAAATATACTTTTTACAAATATTGGAGTGGTGTAAAAACACTTGTATTGTCTATTGGAAAATGCTGTCCTAAACACACTGTATATTAATGCAGAATAGCAGTTCTTAGCCTTTTCCCACTTCAGTTTTGTAATAGCTCTTTTAACCACCGTTTTAAATAGTAATTGATACAAGGTAAACATCTTGCACGTTTCTGGAGTAGTAATTCTTGTTTTGCTTTGATTTACACTCATGCCGTTTGGATTTGGTTGCCAAGGCTATTTCTTTTTAGGTACCCTTCTCTATTTTAACATAAACACTACTATTTGTAAATGGCAGTGCTTACTACTTTTTGGAAGGAATAAGTTTTTTGTTTTCTTTTTGGTGTTCTAGCTGTTTATTTTACCTGTCTGGAATTGATCTGTGTTAGGCCTTTTAATCTCTCAGTAGACATTACGCAGTATTAGTGATTACACTGTATTTAATTCACTTTCAGTATGAGTTTGAGTCTCTTTGAAGACTGTGAGTGGCTTAGCAAGTTAGTAACTGAATGCAGAAGCTTTTACTTCCAGATCATGTAATTTAATACAGACCTGTTGGTAATGACCAAAAGTAATCACTTTGTAGCCTACATGAAACAGTGGTCTTGATCCTGTCCCTGATGGCAGGTGTTCAATCAGAAGACTCGTAACTGTAGTTGGCAGCTTTATGGGATTGAAGGACTGCATTAATACGATGATGAAATTTCTCTCTTACATGTAAAGAATCCTGTTGCCTGTGCTGTTGTATTACTCAGTAGAGAATTTAAACACTGTACTAAACACTAAAAGAAATCAGTTAATGTATGCATATTTTTCCCCTTTAAAGAATAAAAAAAGGAGGCTGAAAGAAACATTCTTAGAAGTGAATTATATACAAAATGTCTTCGCATGCAGAAAAAGACCTGTTGTATTTTTTAACTTCTCACCCTCCTTTTTCTCTTTCCTGAACACCTCTTCAGAGAAGGGTTCAGTGTTTGGGGGAGAGGCTGAAAACTCTAAAACGCAAATACTTACTAAAAGATGTGTTGCAGTTAAGTACTGCAATCCTGAGACATTGATTGCTTACACAAGTTCTTGTGTCTTCTATTGAATGACAGTTTCTGCTCAAATGTGGAAATCGTGCATCGTATGGTACCTAAGTAACAAATGATCTTAAAGGAATAAAATTGTTTACGTGTCATTAAAATGTTTCTTATGAAATGCCTTAAAGGAATAAACTGTAACACTTCTGCAGAACCCTAATGTTCTCTTGTACAGGAATTTCTATATTGGTGTTTTGGTTTTTGGGGTGTTGTTTTTTTAAGCAGTTTCTCAAGTGTGTTTAAAAACAAACAAGTGCATCTTCAGGAGAAGGGGAATAACATTATTTGCCGCTCACCTTTGGGGTCTTGTCTTTCATTCTTTGCAACTGCAACCCACAGATGGTTCTTTTGATTGAATAAGATGCAAAGTCAGTTGGCCACAGGATCAGGCTTCTATTTTCTTCTCCCCGGGCCTGACTTTTGTCGAGTTGCTGAATATGTATGTGTGACACTACAGGATTTTTTTTTTCTTGACTAGCTTTTATAGTAAATGTCATGGCACATTGGATTAAGGAAAGATCTTGGCTGTAGGTACAAGATTTTACTTTATCCAAAATGTTTTTCACCTGGCTTCATCTCTGTTCACTTGTGTGTTTAGATGTGGCCAACAAAATGACTCAAGAATGGGTGCTGAAGTGGGTGTTCATGAGCCAGAGCTGGTGCTTAGTGCTAGTGTTGTGGTTAGATTGGCGTACCTATGCACTGAACCATAATTTCTGCAATAATATCTGCAATAATATCCAGTTAACCCACTTCTGATGCTGTCATTAAGTACTAAAGTACTCTGGCATTTTTCTGCTCGTGTACATACTCTTGAACTGTAATATATGCAGTGCTGGGGATATCCTTGTGACTCCTGATTTTGCCAGGGTAGGCTTGCAGGAGCAGACCTGGTAAGGTTTGTCTATGTTCTACTTTCCTCTTCCTTTTAAGAAGGACTTTTTGAGAGCTTTCTAGTTAGCAAATTTTGTGTGCTACTGGTTTGTGGCATTCCTAATCATGTTTAGTTTATCTGTGCTGCTGATACAAAGTTCAGGTATCGATGCACAGAGGGATTGGATGAGAACTGTTTGACCCTAATGATGTTTTAAGTAGAGCAATAGCAGAGAGTGCTGCTTCTGTGGCAGCATACTTGTGTATAAGTCACTTCTTGATCTAGATGGAGGAACGGAGAAATTGAATCAGCCGGTAGTGTGGTAGGAGAAGATGCAGCCTTTCCAGTATAGCCCAGCTTAGGCTGAATGTTACTCTTCAGTGAAAACTGTTTTGGCTTTTGTAGTGTAAGTATTTTCTTCTTTTGGGGCATCTTTCTACTTTGCACCAACCACAGCATTAACTAACAGCTTTGGCAATACCAGCTAAGAGCCTAGAACAGGCATATACTGAAGTTCTTTCTGGGTTTGCTTTTATAGTCACTAACATAAGATAGTAGCTTGGATATTCCTCCTTAGAGGACTTCAGTCTTGCTGGCAGTCAATCCAGTGCCTTGTGTAAGTATTACGTTCATTTAATTGCATTAGGCATGAAGTAGTTGTACATGAAGGGATGACATTGGGTTATAGTATCTATAGGACCAAAACAAAACTTTCTAGTGTGACTGACTGATGGCAGGCAAATCTAACGAACAGCCCGTCAGTCAAAAGAATGATGAAACAGCCCATGTGTTATGATTCGGTCTAGAATTGTTTAAAATATTGGAATTCTTTTGGGTTTTGCTTGAAGCTATGATTTCCCCCCCCGCCACAGTATTACAATGTGAAAGTTGACAATTCTTGGGCAGATACTCTTGCAGTGTAAGTCTAGAGAATGTTAAAATGTGTCAGGCTTTCTCCCTAGTTTGAAATAATAATTTTTTTCAGTATATTGTTTTAGTTGCCCAAAGTATTGCTAGTGATGGTTTTTAGGAAAAAAAGAAAAAAAAAAAAAAGAAAAAAAAACTCAAAACATTTTCTAAATGTTTTGCTTCAAAAGACAAACGTGACTTTTTTTGTAGTTGTGAAGTTTCTGTTTAGGAAGGTAACCCATTCTGAATTCAAATCAATAGACCAAACCATCAGATTACGACATAATGTTGCTTTATTGTGCTGCTCCATAAACCTGCTTCTGTGTTTGTTGCAAGCATAACCTTTATGCTTTTGTTTACATTGTAGGAAACACAGTTCTAGCAATGAGTTTTTTCATTTAACTCTAAACATCTTTTTATTTTGTTAATTTTAAAATTATTAGGTTTTGCTATGTTATGTTTTTAAAGATATTTTTTGCATACTGCTGCTCATATTTCAATAAACAAAACAAAAAACCCACAGATTTTTCTGATTTCCTTTATCTGTAACTCGGTATGTCTCAAATATTTGTTTACAGGGGTTGATTTATGACTTCTTGTAACTCTCGCTGCTGATGCCTTACCATGTACATATTCTTCCTCAAACAAATGTGATCTGGTAATTTTAACAATACTTTCTGATAGGTTTTTTGGTAACACAAAACCTGCAGTGCTCTCAGAAGCAGAGACTAAATTATTGCATTAATTTATTTAAGAGTTCTTTTTTCTTCTTGTAGAATGCAGCCAGCCCAAGCGGTATCAATTTGTTGGATATTTGTAAAAATATTTAAAGCAGTAGTACAAAAAAATATATATCTGTAAGACTTCAGCAACACTCTTGATCATTGTGTTGGGGGTGGTTGGGATGTTGCGGGGTTTTTTTTACCATTGTGGCTGACCATAATGTCTTTAACCAACCATCGTTGCTTTAAACTGATGAGCTTTAAACAGGCTTTTCACTGAAATGAAGGCTGTTCGAATATCTCCTGAAACTCAGATACTGTTCCAATAAAATGGAAATTTAGGAGAAGTTTAGTGAGCTGTTCTTTTACTGTCCATTAGCCTTATCTTTTAGATTGAGGAGAAGAAAACTTTTCTCTTGTTTACCAAGATAGTAGAGAAATAGAGGTTGAAATAGTAATTGGTGGTGTGCACGAATTAAAAGAAGTTTTTTTGGCAGGATGAGTACAAAAATACTGAATCCCAATTCCACAGGGATATCTGTGTAAGAACTACAGAAAGGACAAATTACTTGTTTAGTATAAAACTGAAACAAAAGTGTTGATACTGCTTGATCTTTTCTGTATTTCCTGCTTTGGGATTTAATTTGCCTAGCAGATTGCCACCTTGCAGTAGTACTCTGAAGTTCTCTCATCTTCTCAGTAATAGGGTTTTTTTTCCTCTGAATGTCCAACTGTACTATACTAAGGAGGATCCCATCACTCAGTAATTTTATTTTCTTAATCTCCTGATACTGTTTTGATGTTTTTGCTTCCAAAACAATGATTGCCGTGTAAAATTTCCAGAAGATAAAGTATGATAGTATTACCTAGATGATACAGTCTGATCTGTGAGTAACATCTCAAATTAAGTGTTGCAGTGGCTTGTTGGCTTTCTAGAAACTTTATATGGACTTGTACTAGTAGCTTTCTATATAAGTAAAAACCAACCAACCAAAAAACTCGTGGTAATTAAAAGTTTTAAATAATTATTTTATAGAATTGAAGAGTTTTTGTTAATCTTACTTGTCTTTCTCTCTGGGGAATTTGGAGGTATAGTAACAGTTTATAATTACATCTCTCTGAGTAGCTAGCCAAAGTAACCTGTGAAATTGTTCATTTATGGTTTTTTCAGAAGAAAAAAAAAAAAAAGCTTTGGGCAAAACACACCTCTTCCACCCCCACTCCAACCTGCATTGTGTGTTAAATGAGTCAGAGGCTACTTCTGTTCACTGCTGCATAAAAAGCAAGTATCTCACTGGCATTTAAAGTAATTAAACGTTGGGTGTCCTA